CGTTGTGGTGAACCAGTATAAATCTTGGTGTGCTCCCTTTACGCTTTCTACGCTCTTTACTTTTCACGTTCTTGATTTTTTATTCCTGCGATTTCTACGATCAAACGCTATTCACCCCCCCTCTAGCGTTGGTCACTTATTCTAACAATTGGTATCAGAGCCTAACTCGCGTCCAAACTTAATCGTTTGAGAGTAAAGCAATCATGGGTTCTTCTTCTAGAAATTTGTATGCAGGAATAGGTGAAGGGCAATCAACCACACGGCCACCTCTTTTTGATGGAACCAATTATACATATTGGATAGAACGAATGAGAATCTATATTCGTTCCACAAACTTCCAATTATGGTTGGTTATCAAAAACGGGGAAGAGGTGCCGATGAAGAAAGTCGGAGACAAGTTGCTCCCCAAGACGGAAGACGAATTTGATGCCGAAGACATCAAGAAAGTAGAGAACTTCGCAAAAGCAATTAACATGCTCTACTGCGCGGTCAACTCCGGTGACTACTGCAAGATCTCTTGCTGCTCAACCGCCAAGGAGATGTGGGATAAGTTCGAGGTGACGTACGAAGGAATGGACCAAGTACGTGAAGCCAAGATCGACTTCCTCACCTAAGAGTATGAGATGTTCAGGATGAAGGAGCACGAGAAGATCGACGATATGTTCGACCGTTTTTCGAAGATAGTCAACGATCTTCATGCATTGAAGAAGACCTACACCGACAGGGATCTTGTGCGAAAGATCCTACGGAGCTTGACATCCGAATGGCGATCTAAGGCCGATGCCATCTATGAGTCAATCGGCACATCAAATGTCACCATCGACGGTTTAAGAGGTAACTTAAAAACGTATGAATCTACTATACTTAACCCGTCTTTGAATGACCAAAGGAAAGGCATAGCATTAAAAGCCTTCAAAGAACCAACAATGAATGACTCAAGCGACGATGATGAAGTCAAGCTTGTCATGAAAAAGTTTTGCAAGCTTCTAAGGAAGAAAGAAAAGGTTGAGGATAGCCTTGTGTGCTATGGATGTGGTGAAGCCGGGCACATCAAGAACAAATGCCCAAGAAGCGGAAGGAATGCTCGTCGCTTCAAAAAGCAAAGAGCATACATCTCTTGGGGTGGCGACTCTGGCGATGAGTCAAGCGAGCAAGAGGAAGACGAAGAAGCAAACCTTTGTCTCATAGCTCAAGAAGAAGAGGAGTCCGACAACGGCGAAAACCAAAAGGTATGTAATTCTTCTACTGTTTTTTATTCTCTTGAAGAAATGCAAGAAGCTCTCCAAGAGCTTTATAACGAGTTTGTTAGCGCTTCTAAAACCAACAAAGCCTTAAAGAAACGTTTTTCTAATCTTGAAACTGACCTTGAAAAACTTCAAAAGGAAAACGAAAAACTAAAAGAGGAAAATAAGTTTTATGGTAAAAGAAGCGCCGACAAACCCGAGAGCTCTACAAAACATTGTGACGCTTGCATAGCTTTGAAAGAACAAGTCACAAAACTTGAGAGTACAGTTAAGAAATTTAATACTCCGCACAAAGATCTTAATTTACTCCTTGACACTATGCACTTTTCTAAAGAAGGAATAGGTTTTAATAAAAACGAAGCTAAGGATAGAGAAAACGTTGAGCAAACACCTAAACAACCTCCTAAGGCTCAACGTAAGAA